TCACTTTGAATATTTCTTGCACTCCCTTCTGTCCTGCATAGTTTCTGTTGAGAAATCAGCTGACAATCATATGGGTACTCCCTTATAGGTAACTAACTGTTTTTCTCTTGCTGCTTTTAATATTCTCTCTTTGTCTTTTGCTCTTGGCATTTTAATTACAATGTGTCTTGGTGTGGTCCTCTTTGGATTCCTTTTGTTGGGTTCTGTGTGCTTCCTGGACTTGTAAGTCTATTTCTTTCACCAGGTAGGGAAAGTTTTCGGTCATTATTTCTTCAAATAGGTTTTCAATATCTTGCTCTCTCTCTTCTTCTGGCACTCTCATAATTCAGATGTTGGTAGGCTTGAAGTTGTCCCAGAGGCTCCTTACACTATCTTCATATTTTTTAATTCTTTTTTCTTTTTGCTTTTCTGGTTGGGTGTTTTTTGCTTCTTGGTATTTCAAATCTTTGACTTGATTCTTAGGATCCTCTAATCTGCTGTTAGATCTCTGTATATTATTCTTTACTTCAGTTAGTGTCAAAAAACCTAAGGCACTCCCTTCCCCCTCCCACCAGCCCAGGCTCGCAGGCCACTGCCATCCTCAAGGGCTTGCAAGGTCCTCCTTGGGGGGAGCCTGCCCAGCCCGCCACCTACCAGACCCTCCGGGGCCTGAGCCCACGACACCCCCGCCCTGAAATCCGCTGGCCCCAAGGACAAAATATACGAAAAGTAAAAAAAAAAAAAAAAATACTTCCTAGACAGAATTTTATGAGCAACTTGTTTTAGTAAAAGCCTCAATAAAATTTGCATATCCGTAAGTACAAGTGCAGGACGGGGAAAAAAAATGATATTCAAGAGAAAAATCCAAGCTGAAAAAAAAGGAGTCACTTAAAATTTTCTCCCAATTGGGTAGGGAGATCTGGGGGAGATAAGAGATCAACCAAAGGACTTGTATGCATGCATATAAGTACAACCAATGGACACAAAACTCTGGGGAGAGTGGGTATGTATGTTAAAATATGTACACAGATAATAATTTAATAAAAAAATTTTTAATTTTTCTCCCAATTATATGTTGTGAAGATGAGCCTTCTATTTACAAGAATAAGCTGGAAATTTTTAATTCAAGCACTGAACCTAGCCACTGTCAACGAAATAGGAGTTTGCTTTTACTCAAGCGGTGCGTCACAAGGTTGACAGGCATCTCTCTCCCAATATATTTTTTGGGAGGCAACCAAAATTTTTGGTGGCCTTGTTTCGACAGGGCTTGTTGAAATATGGTTAAAAAGAAAGATTATTTTAGTCTGTTTGGGTGGGTGGGTCACCATCCTGCAGAATGGACTCAAGGGTCTCAAAGTGATTTTTGAGTGTGTCCTGTTCTGGTTGTCTTGAGTCACAGGTTGAGGAAATAAGTAGACATTCGAGCACTAAGAATATTTGTTGAACTGTTGCTTGCCTTTTTTATATAGTTGGATTGTCTCTGTAATTGGAATTGTAAGGCTTCTTAAATATTGTATGTACAAATTATTCGTCACCTATTTTGAATATTGTTTCATTTTTTTCTTAAACTTCACTTTTGATAATGCAAATGTCCGATTTCCCAATGTTCTTTTTCAAAATATGTATCTTTTTTTTCTTGATTAAGGTATTATTTTATTAAGGTATTATCCCTCCATTGCCCCCAACACCCCCTATCCTGCCACTCATGCCCTCACCCCCCTGGTGTCTGTGTCTATTGGTTAGACTTATATGCGTGCACACAGGTCCTTTGGTTGATCTTGTATGTTTAATTTCTAGTTGGTCCTTTTTCATATCCTTGAGGGTCTCGCTAAATTTATTCTAGAAAATTCTTGAGTAACCTTATAACTATGGTTTTGAACTCTGTATCCAGTAGTTTGCTTTCCTCCATTTCTTTCATTTGCGACCTGTTTCTTTGTATCTGCATTTTGGCTGCTTCCCTGAGTTGATAGAGTGGCTTTGTGTGCTAGGTGTCCTATAGGGCCCAGTGGCTCAGCCTCCCAGTTACCTGAGGTGGACACTCTTGGTGCACCCTTTATGGGCTGTGTGCACAGTCTTGTTGTAGTTAAGCCTTGATTACTGTTGGTATCACTAGGAGGAATCCAGGCCAATTGGCTGTGCGGATCAGTTGTGTCTACACTGGGAGAATTTCTGTGCTGGAGACACCCTTATGAGGTAAGACTTGCAAAAGCCTCTGTGCTCAGGGTGGATGGGGTGGAATCTCAGGGCAGAGTAGACAGCAAAGGTTTCCCATCAGTTCTGCCCTAAGAGGCCCCTGGGTCTCAGTGTCCCATGGTAATCTCCGTAAGCACCTCTGAGAGAAAGCTGCCCTTGAGTTTCGCCTGCTGCCAGACAGTTCAGTTTCCCCCCAAATGAGTTTGGGTCCCCAGAGTCTCGCACGGAACTGGAGTTCAGAGCAGTCGGGAGCTTTTGTCTCCCTCTCGATTGGGAAAGCCAGCTGCATACTCAGTTGCCAGCCCTCTCTGTGCTAATGCCTTCATGTCTCTGCTTTCCGCAGGTCCTCTGAGTCTCAGTGTGCTTTTCTCTTTCCTTCTAGTTGTAGAATTTCCACTCAGCCAGCCTTCCTGTGGTTCTGGATGATGTCCATTTTGTCTTTTAGTTGTAGTTTTGAAATAATTGTGCGAGGCAGCAGTTTAGGTGTTTACCTATGCCGCCATCTTGGTTTCTCCCCGTTTATCAGTTTTTTAAATATAATTTTACTGATTTCAGAGAGGAAGGAAGAGAGAGAGAAACATTAATGAGAGAATCATTAATGATGAGAATCATTGGTTGGCTGCCTTCTGCAGACCCCACACTGGGGATGGAGCCCACAACCTGGGCATATGCCCTGACCAGAAAGTGTACCATGATCTCCTGGTTCGTAGATTGACATTCAACCACTGAGCCAGTCCAGCCAGGCTACCAGTTTTTTCAGAGAAATGATAAAGAATACCGATGAACAGCGAGATGACATACAGAGGGTGAGGTCTGGCAGGGTCCAGAGCACAGGAGCTTCTGTGCCCTGTGGAGTTAGGGTGCATCATTTCCCAGTGTGGATGTGTCCACCGACCTGCCAGCTCTGAATATATGCAGGCTCCCTCATGTAGGCAGGATTAAGATTAACTCCTCTCCGGAGAAGTGGTGGCAGGGCTGAAAATCCCAAGCTCTGATCCTGGCTGGTCTTTCTGTTGACCAATGCCCCAGCCAGGAGCCAACCAGGGGCCCACCCAGAGTCACCCAACTAGAACAACTGAGACTCCTAGCTCTTTTCACTTAGCAACTCACGGGGTCGGAGCCGAGGCCAATATATATATGTATTACCTCTGTACTCTTGGGGGTGGGCTCTCTCCTTGTGACTGGGATATTTCTTAATCTAGACGCCCTCTCCTAGGATAGGCCCTGCCTCCGCGTCCACAGTGAGCCCCGCTCGCCCCAGCACCCATCTCTTGTCCTTGGTGGCGCTCTCATTTTATCCGTCTGCATTTAGTACTCTTGTTCAGTTTGCTACTCACCTTCCGTACCAGGGAAGGCCCTTGATGGCAGGCCCAGTCTGCTGTGCTCACAGTGTGTTCCCAGTAGCAATGCCACGGCGGCACAGAGAGGCCTGAGTAAACAGTTATCGGTGAATTGTTTTATTTTATTTTTATTTTATTGTTGTTGTTAAGCCTTGCCCGAGATATTTTTTCCATTGATTTTTAAAGAGGGTGGAAGGGAGTGAAGGGGGAGAGAGAGAAACATCGGATGTGAGAAAGACACGCATGGATTGGTTGCCTCCCAAAAGCACCCGGATTGGGCCTGCGATCCACCTGCAGTCGAGGGGTGTGCCCTTGATGGAGATCGAACCCGAGACTCTTCAGTGCATGGGCTGAGCGCTGCCACTGAGCCACACTGGCCAGTGGATGAGAGCTTTCCAAGTTACTGGAGCGCTACGGAAACGCTGCGGCTTGGTTAGGGGGATTGGTTCCTGGGAACTTTAAACTTTCGCGCCAGGCCGAGACCGGTTTGGCTCAATGGATAGAGCATCGGCTTGGGGACTGAAAGGTCCCGGGTTCGATTCCGGTCAAGGGCATGTGCCTTGGTTGCGGGCATATCCCCAGTAGGGGGTGTGCAAGAGGCAGCTGGTTGATGACTCTCTCTCATCGATGTTTCTATCTCTCTATCTCTCTCCCTTCCTCTCTGTACAAAATCAATAAAATATATATTTAAAAATAAAAAAATAATAAAAAATAAACTTTCGCGCCAGGGGAGATGCCACAGGTCACAAAATCTCGTTCCTTGTAGAAACGTAAATTTCCCAGCGTTTTGATGGGATACAACTTTCTGATGAAAAATATTGATCTACGGTTTTGTGTTTTTTTTTTCCCTATCTATAATTCTTACAGGGCAGTTTGTAGTTAAGCCAGTGCATGCTTTAACTTGCAGTTTCTACAGGAATCCTGTGGTAAAGAGAGCGTACGATTTTGGGTTTCGAGTCCGACCTTCATGGCCAACTTGCTGTGCAGCCACAGCCTAAGATGCTTTCCTTCTCTGAGCCTCGTTTTCATTGCTTGAAAAATGGAAAACATTACCACTTAAATCAGTAATTTGTTGTTCAGGCAAATATTACTTCATGTGTGGCCGCACTGAATTCTGTGGGAGATTTAAAAAAATAAAAGTAACACCCAGCCCTTGCCTCCCAGGAGGTTGTGTAGCTGGGGAGAGCCCAGCAGGAGAGGTTAGGAGAACAGGCCTGGGGCTCTGTCCGCAGGGTCAGGCCTCCCAGGGAGCGGGGTGGTGCTCATCACCGACTGGATAACAAGCTGACATCGCAGTTCAGAGCGGACCGGAAGTCCTGCATGGTGGTGTTGCAATAGAATGGTCTCATATTTGCCAAGCAGTTGAAGGGAGGGGCTAAAAAATAGTGTCGATACTTTAGCAACTCAGAGAACTAACAGGTTGCATTGAGCTTTGACTAAAATTAACATTGGAAGTTCTTCTATTTTAGGCGACTTTGAACCAGTGCAATGGCGACTGCGGTGAGCAAGGCTCCCGAGAATGCTGACCTGTGGTCCTCGCACGAGAAAATGCTGGCACAGCCCCTGAAAGACAACGACATTGAGGTGAGGCGGTGGGGTCTTCGAGGGGGTCCTTAAACCCCAGTCTCCTGTTTCCTCTCTAGTTCTAGTCCTAAGTGCCCTTCGTTCAGAGCAGCCTTGCAGTTAGTGTAAGATGCCAGACTCACAGGCAGCCGCTGGCAAAGAGCTGAAGCCCTTGTGGGCAAGGTTACAAAGTGCAGGGTGCTGTGCCGGGTGCTCGGGAGGGACGGGAGAGCCACTGAGATTTGACCCTTTTCTTACAGTTCAGAGGAGTGCATTCAGACACCAAGAAGCATCTTTTATTAATGCATTTTTTAAAATATATTTTATTGATTTTGTACAGAGAGGAAGGGAGAGAGATAGTTAGAAACATCGATGAGAGAGAGTCATCGATCAGCTGCCTCTTGCACACCCCCTACTGGGGATGTGCCCGCAACCAAGGTACATGCCCTTGACCGGAATCGAACCCAGGACCTTTCAGTCCCCAAGCGACGCTCTATCCATTGAGCCAAACCAGTTTCAGCTATTAATGCATTTTTAAAAAATATGTTTTTATTGATTTCAGAGAGGAAAGGAGAGGGAGAGAGAGACAGGAACATCAATGATGAGTGAGAATCATGGATCGGCTGCCTCCTGCACGCCCCCTACTGGGGATGGAGCCCACAACCCAGGCATGTATCCTGACTGGGAATTAAACTGTGACCTCTTGGTTCATAGGTCAATGCTCAACCACTGAGCCACACCAGCCTGGCCTAACCGTCTTTTAAGGAAGCTTATCTTAAGAAAGAGAAGCAAGGAATCAGGGAGGGGAAAACGAGGTGAAATGTAAAACTAAAAATTAGGTGAGATGTTTATCTTCACTAGATTCTGAGTTTGGTTTTTTGGATTATGGTCAACCTCTGAGGGCAAAATGTGGCTGTGTAACATGGCTCTTCTCTTTCCTCGGCCATTGCTTTGATCAGAGCAGAACGCTGAGCTTAGAGGTCCCAGTGTTTATGTCTGTTTTCTCCTCTTCAGGTTTACAACATCATTAAGAAGGAGAGTCAGCGGCAGCGGGTTGGACTGGAGCTCATCGCCTCGGAGAATTTCGCCAGCCGCGCCGTTTTGGAGGCCCTGGGCTCCTGCTTAAATAACAAGTACTCGGAGGGGTACCCCGGCCAGAGGTATGTGGATGCTGCTGAGCGCTGATCCGGCAGGCGGGCGCAGCGCGGGTCTGCAGAGTGCGGCCCCCGGGCTCCCGTCCAGGCCGAGGTCCCACACACCTTCACGCCGGGCCCGTGAGCGCTGGTGTTCCAGAGCCGCCACGCCAGGTCACTGACGGCTCCCGTGGGCTTTCCTGCCGAGCCACCAGGCCCTCAGGGTGCGGAGCTGCTGAGCGGAGGGGAGCCTCTGGGAGGGGTTGCTGCGTGTGAGCAGTCAGAGCGGTTTCAGGAGTGGACACTGACCTTTGCACAGACGCGTTGCTGCGTTAGGAATGTTGGCTTTACGTGGGCGGTGATCTGGGTCACCTCCCTCACCGGAGAACCGGAGAAACTTTTACAGTCATCGCCGACAAAGTGGTGATTACAGAATCGACGTATGGTTGTGCAAATTTGTATTTTGTCCGGAAGGACACAGAAGAAGCAGGGTCACCCTGGGAGTTGACCTGGCAGGCCCCCCTGAGGTGCTCTGCGCTCTCTGCAGACCGGCCAGACAGCGAGGGCTGTGTTCCTCTGCGTGAATGACTCACGTTTGCGTGGCACTCGAGGAGTCAGTGGGTGTTTTCAAAACCACTGTCTCCTTTGAGCCTCACGGCAGGCCTGCAGGGACAGGGGGCGGCCCCGCAGGGACAGGGGGCGGCCCTGTAGGGAAAGGGGGGCCGTGCTCCATACTGTGAGGACGGGAGAGTGAAGACTCACTAAGATTTGGTGACTTTTCAAGTTCGCACACAGGTAGTAGAGCTGGGTGGATCTAGATGCTTTCCAATGGGGGCATGATAAGAAATATCTGGTCTTTGTCCCTGGTTTCCGGCACCTGAGCTCCTAAAACTCGGAATCTGATAGGAATGTCTTATTCATAATGAACACACCTGCGTTTGTGTTAAGAGGTGACCTGGCTGGGCCTCTAGAGGGCTTCAGGGTGGGCTGGTGGCGTGCTGAGGGCTGAAGCCGCGGTCACCACCGATGGCCAGTGATTGGATTGGTCACCTCGCAGGGAAGCCTGTGCAAACCCAGCCCGGTGAGGGGAGGGCTGCCCAGTTGGTGAGCGGTGGAGGTGCTGGGCGGGGCATCCTGAGAGGCCCGGAGCCGAACCCTTTCCCCACACCTGCCCACGCGTCTGGCCAGTGAGTCAGTAAAGTGTTGTCCTGCGTCCCGTGGGTCTCTCTGGTGAGTTACTGAACGTGAGAGAGGGTATAGTAATCCAGAGTTTGTCAGAAAGAAGTAAGCAGCCTGAGGACAAGCCTCTGAAGTGGGCCGGCCTGGGGACTGAGCCTGAGCCTTGGGGCTGGGGCTGCACAGCTGGTGGTCACAGCTGAATTGAATTATAGAACTGATGGTGTGAGAAAACCCCCTCACATTTGACATCAGAAGTGTTGTTACCGGAAAGGGGCCCAGGCGGTGTGTGGTTGACGTGGTGCAGGGAAGAATTCACCCGTGAGTCCAGGTGACTTTGCGGGACGCTGACTGAAGCTGGGCAGTGAGACAGGAGAGCCGGGAGGCGGAGAGGGAGGAGACCTGCTCCGTTCACTAAGGAGTTGGAGAAAAGGGGCCAGGGAGACAGATCACATCGGAGGGTGAGTCGGGACGAGCTGCCGCTGCCCATTGCTCCCTGGCTGCAAGTCTTGTGGGTCCCGTGGAGAGCAGGGGCACCCACCCGAGGGGAGGGAAGGCAGGGGCGCTCCTGGGAGGGAGAGTGCCAGCTGGGTCCCTCCTGAGGGTTTATGGCTGGGCATTTAGGGGAGGAATTAACCACTTTCAGGGTCACGGTCTCCACTAATTGGTCAGCCCCAAGGCAAGGGGTTTAAGCTGCAGGACCAGCAATATGCCAGGAGGAACGGCTACCTGGGGGCAAGTCTACACCAGGTTTGCTGTTGCTCTCACCAGCAATCCTCAGCTCTGTGTCTGCTGAGGATTGCTGGCCAGTTCGTTAGCTCTCTGTTTCCCCAGCCCACGTGGCAAGGAACTTCCCTAATTCCCTACTAACCTGCCTTATTGTGAGTAAAAACCCCTCAGTCGCCCTTTTTTCCTTTTTGTGGTAAAATATACATAATAGAAAATTTTCCTTTTTAAGTGTGCAGTTCAGTGGCATTAAGCTCATTCACAATATGGTACAACCATCGCCACCATCATCTCCAGAACTTTTTCATTTTGTATAAACAAAACTCTGTACCCATTAAACTGTAACTCCTGCCAGCAAGCACATGAACCAGGTGCCAACATCACTGAACATCAGGGACATTCCGGTCAGAACCCCAATGAGCTGTTCCCTCACTCCCATTAGGATGGCTACTGTAGACACACACAAACACAAAACGAGCATTGGTGAGACTATAGAGGAGTAGGCCTTGTCCCCTGGGGTAGGGATGTAAAATGTGCAGCCACTGTGGAAAACAGTATGCAGGTTCCTCAAAAAATGAAAAACATAATTATACTAGTGGCCCAGTACACGAAATTCGTGCATGGGGTGGAAGGTGTTCCTAAGCTCGGCCTGCACCCTCTCCAATCTGGGACCCCTCAAAGGATGTCAGACTGCCGGTTTACAGGGATCGGTCCTAAACTGGCAGTTGGATATCCCTCTCACAGTCTGGGATTGCTGGCTCTAGCTGCTCACCTGCCTGCCTGCCTGATCACCCCTACCCATTCTGTCTGCTGGCCTGCTCACCCCCAGCTGCCTCCCCGCCACCGGCCTACTTGCCCCCAAATACCTCCCCGCCAGCCTGATCACCTCCAACTGCCCCCCCTGCTGGCCTGTTCACCCCCACCTTCCCCACTGGCCTGCTCACCCTCAACTACCCCCTCCCTGCTGGTCTGATCACCTCCAACTGACCCCCACTGATCACCCCCAACTGACCCCCCTGCTGTTCTGCTCACCCCCAACAGCCCCTGCCATTCCATCTTGGCATGATCAGCCCCCAGCGACCCAAGGTCCCAGCCACTCCTTTTTTCTTTTTCTTTTTTTTATTTTAATTTTCAGCACCTCCTTGAGCAGAGGCTAGGGCTGGCTGAAAGCAAGTATCTAGGATTTATTTATCTTCTATAATTGAAACAGAGGCCAGGGCTGGCCAGGAAGCTTGGCTTCCTCCATTGCCAGGGGAAACTCAAGCCTCCTGCTTGCTCCAGTTCTGTGACCGCTGCCATTTTTCTTGGGATTTATTTATCTCCTATAATTGAAACTTCATAGCCTTGAGCAGAGGCCAGGACCAGCACAGGCGGGAAGCTTGGCTTTCTCCATCACCGGGGGCAACCCAAGCCTCCAGCTGGCTCCAGCTCAGTGGCTGCTGTCATATTTGTTTAGTTAATTTGCATACTTACTCCTGATTGGCTGGTGGGCATGGGTTGGCATAACAGAGTGATGGTTAATTTGCATGTTTCTCTTATAGATGATACAGTAATTCCACTTCTGGGTATATATTCCAATAGATTTGAAATCAGGGAATCAGCTGAAACCAGTTTGGCTCAGTGGATAGAGTGTCAGCCTGCGGACTGAAAGGTCCCAGGTTCAAATCTTATCAAGGGCATGTACCTTGGTTGTGGGTACATCCCCAGAAGGGGGTGTGCAAGACGCAACTCATTGATGTTTCTAACTCTCTATCCCTCTCTCTTCCTCTCTGTGAAAAATCAATAAAATATATAAAAAAGAAATCAGGGAATGAAACAGATATTTGTATACCATGTTCATAACAGCATTGGTCACAGTAATCAACATATGGGAACAACCCAAGTGTCCATTGATGGACAGGTGGATAAGCAAAGGTGGTCTATCTATAATAATAAAAGTATTATATGCTAATTAGACCGGACAGCTGAACGACCTTCCAGATGTCCTTCTGGACTAAGCCTTGGTGACAGGGGCCGAGGCAGAGGCAGTTAGAGGTGATCAGGCAGGCAGGCAAGCAGTTAGGGGCAACCAGGCAAGCAAGCAAGCAGTTAGGGGCATCAGGCAGGCAGGCAAGCAGTTAGGAGCCAGCGGTCCCGGGTTGCTAGAGGTATTTCTGACTGCCGGTTTAGGCTCAATCCTGCAGCTCCTGGATTGAGAGAGGGTGCAGGCCAGGTTGAAGGACATCCCCTCTCCCATACATGAATTTCATGTACCGGGCCTCTAGTACATACAATAAGAAAAAGAAGGAGTCAAAACCGTTTTTGGCTCAGTGGATAGAGTGTTGGCCTGTGGACTGAAAGGTCCCAGGTTCGATTCCAGTCAAGGGCATGTACCTTGGTTGCGGCACATCCCCAGTGGGAGGTGTGCAGGAGGCAGCTGATCGATGTTTCTCTCTCATCAATGTTTCTAACTCTCTATCCCTCTCTCTTTCTTTCTGCAAAAAAAAAAAAAAATCAATAAAATATATTTTTTTAAAAAGAAAAGAAAAAGAAAAAGAAAAAAATACTACCACATGCTGCAAGGATGAACCTTGAGGATATTATGCTACATGAAATGAACTGGTCACAAAAAGACAAATACTATATGATTCCATTTATACGAGGTCCCTAGAATAGTCAAAGTAATAGAAATGGAAAGTAGATAGTGGTTCCTAGGAGCTCGGGGAGGGAGAAATGGGGAGTTGTTCAGTGGGTGTAGAGTTTCAGTTTTGCAAAATGAAAAAGTTCTAGAGATCTGCTGTATAACAGTGTGAGTACTTATCGGCACTGAACACTACTACACCATGTACTTCCAAATGGTCAGGTGGTATGGCTCGGTTGGTTGAGTATGGTCCCATGAACCAAAAGGTCATTGTTTAATTCCGGTGGAGGCACAGGCCCATGGTGCTGGCTCAGTCCCTGTGGGGGAGCATGCAGGAGGCAACTGATCGCTTTGTCTCTCACTCCCTCTCCCTCTTCTTTCTAAAAATCAATAAAAACATTTTTTTAAAAAAATGGTTACGATGGTAAATTTTATGTTACGTGACTTTTACTATAACTAAAAAAATGTAAACATAAATAATTTCAAAAATTTCTAAGCTTTTTGTGACCACAGGCCTTAGTATTAAAAATTTCTTCTGGATTGAGTTATCATGTTTATTATTATGTATACCAATAAAAACATAAATATATGAGAATTTTAAAAAAATATATTTTATTCATATAACAGAGAGGAAGAGAGGTATAGAGAGTTAGAAACGTCGATGAGAGAGAATCATCGATCAGCTGCCTCTTACACACCCCCCACTGGGGATGTGCCCGCAACCAAGGTACATGCCCTTGACCGGGACCCTTCAGTCAGCAGGCTGACGCTCTATCCACTGAGCCAAACTGGTTTCGGCAATATATGAGAAATTTTGATATGTTGTTATTAAATGAGAAGTAAAATTTTATTAGAAATTCAAAAGCTCTCTACCTCTCCCTCCACCTATCCCCCCGTCAACCACCATTGCACGTTCTGTCTCTCCGAGTGTGACTGTTCTTGGTTCCTACGTAAGGGGCACGCAGCCGGAACGGGCTTGTTTCGCTCAGCACAAGGCCAATGCCAGGCTGGCCCTATGGCTCACGTCCGCTTCCTCGTGGAGAGGAGACACTGACTCGGAGTCAGAGCGGGGCGCTGGGGAAGGCGACCCCGTGGCTTCACCCGGGCTCCACTCCTGTCCGTCCAGCGCGCAGTCTTCTGGCTCCGCAGAGGCCTGATCCGCTCCTCTCGCAGGTACTACGGCGGGACCGAGTTCGTCGATGAGCTGGAGACCCTCTGTCAGAAGCGAGCGCTGCAGGCCTATGGTCTGGACCCCCAGTGCTGGGGGGTCAACGTCCAGCCCTACTCGGGTAACTACCTGCCAGGCTCACGGAGAGGAGCTGAGCAAAGGCCTGCCCATCCACCGGAGTTAGAAAAAGCCCTCCTGTCAGGTTGTCTTTCTCCACGGCCTTGGCTCCGCTGTCCTTGCCCCTCAAGGGTAGTGCACTGTCTGACCTTCCCCTCCCTCCCAAAGGGATTGGTGTGGGGAACCTCTGAGGGCTTGAGGAATGCATCATTGTTTCCCGTCCAAAGTCCACGTGCCCCCACTTTGAAAGGCCAAAACTCAGAGTTTGGAGGAAGGGAAGATTTGTTGATGGAGAAGATGGGCCCTAATCTCAAACCCATCTTAAGAAAGCAGAGTTGAGGCCCCGCAGACTCCTCCGGTGACTGGCATGTCGGGAGCAGGCCGTTAGCCTCACAGCCATGGGAGCTGCACAGATTTAACCTGATGGAGTCAGAGACGGAGCAGTTCTCTCTTCCACATGGTGGCCAAGTCTGCTCTGGCCCCTTCCGGTGGCTGGTCCGGTAGCCGAGCTGGGGGTCCTGCCAGGTGCCGCACGGGCAGGAGCAATTGTACGCCCTCTGGTCTGCCCGCTCCAGGCTCCCCTGCCAACTTCGCGGTATACACCGCCCTGGTGGAACCCCATGGGCGCATCATGGGCCTGGACCTGCCTGACGGAGGCCACCTGACCCACGGGTTCATGACAGACAAGAAGAAAATCTCTGCCACGTCCATCTTCTTTGAATCCATGCCCTATAAGGTAAGAGTGCCTCTCTCCACTGCCCCATAGCCTGCCTCCTCAGAAAGCCCCATAGGAAAGAGCTTTGTTCTCCTGGCACTAAGCAAGCCCCACGTTCACCATTGGTCATGTCCCTGCCCTGGGTCTCCTCGGGCACACAGGGCAGGCTGGGCGGTGGGGGTGGAACCCCGAGGGGCTGAGCTGCGGCACAGGGACGGTTGGGGAGGCAACTGCGTAGGGGTTCCAGCCACAGCAGGGCTGCCAGCTGCTCCAGAGCGAGGGCAGTGACACCTCCCAACAACCAGTCCCCCAGCTGGACCCTTAGTGACAGCAGCTGCAGCCGGAGCTGCCGCCGCAGCCTGCAGCCCCATCAGCACCTCGCCAGCCTCCTTAGCCAGGCCCTGTGCCCATTGCGGGGCCGGCACATATTTATGTGGGGCCCTTGTCATCATAAGCAGTGTGGTTAAAAAAAAAATAAAAAAAATAAAAAGTATGTAAGTCCCTGGCCGGGTAGTTCAGTTGGTTAGAGCATCATCCTGCTATGATGAGGGCTCCAGCCCCACTCAGGGCACATGCAGGAGGCGACCAATGGTGCCTGAATGGGTGGACAACAGACCATGTGTTCCCCCCTCCCCCCCAATCAATAGAGAAAAGTGTGTGTGAGACCCATGGCTTCCTGGGGGTGCAGGCAGTGCGCCGTGAAGATGCAGAGAGAGTGGTACAGAGGTGGCGTGCACACCTGCTCACGGTACACCCTTATGCACCTGCTTCTTCCTTGATTCCCGGTCAAGGGCAGGTACCTGGGTTTTGGGTTCAAACCCCACCCATGCAGTGTGTCTCTCTCACCTCGCTATAATGTTTCTCCCTCCCTCCCTCCCTCCTACTCTCTCTGAAAAGCAATGGAAAAAAAATATCCTCTGGTGAGGACTAACAACAACAAAACATACTTAAGAAAAAAAGAAAGAGCTGTGGCCAGTGTGGCTCAGGTGAGCATTGACCTATGAACTGGTCAAGGCACATGCCCGGTTGGGGGCTGGATCCCCAGTGGGGGTTCCGGAGGTGTTTTTTTTTAGCATGTTGCATGTCCTTGGTTGTTTGCTGTTTTGCTTTGTTGTGTGTTTTATCTGAGAATATTTTCCCATTGATTTTTAGGGAGAGTATTAGAGAGAGAAAGACATAAATAACGATGTTAGAGACACATCGATTGGCTGCCTCCTTCACGTGCCCTAACCAGGGCCTGGGTCAGGGAGGAGCCTGCAGCCAAGGTACATGCATGCCCTTGACTGGAATTGAACCTGCGAACCTTTGGTCTGCTGGCCAACGCTCTATCCACAGGCTAGGGCTGTTTGCTGTTTTATTAGCCTTTGTCTCAGTTCTATTAATTGCACATAAGCTTTTTCCCCCCCCATTGATTTTGAGGGGCAAGAGAAAGAGGAGGGAGGCATCGATTTGTTATTTCACTTATGTGTACGCTCATTGATTGGGCACCGGCCTTGGTGGTCAAGCAGGAGGACACAAACCTGATTGGCCTTCAGCAGCAGCCGCTCTCCCCCAGCCTCTCAGCACTGCCCCCAGGGGACTTGTCACACCAGGCACCGCCCACCCCGGGCCAGGCAGTCCATCCCTGTGGAGGAACAGCACGTACCTGCTGTCGCTCTGCCCCTGTGACTAAGGCACCTCCTTCCCGCGGGGCCTGTGCCAGGAGGGGCTCCTTCCCTCCTGTCCGAGGCCTCCACTCTGCTCTGGCTGCAGGGCAGTTGGTCACATGCCTGTGAATTCTTCCAGGAGCTGTGTTACTGTCGAATTTTTTAAATTAAAAAAAAAAAAAACTTTAAAAAATATCTCACAAGTTTCAAAAGCAAAAAGTGCAGGGAAAGAGTAGCAACTGATTTTTTTTTTTTTGGGGGGGGGGTAATTATGTCCTCTAAAAGTTTTTAGAATGATGTCCATTTTTTTTAATGTGGATCGGCCATTGATTTTCCAGTTAACAGTTTCTTTGCTGAGTTTAGGTGACTAAGAAAGATTCAGCTACATTCTTAAAACAAAACAAAACCACAAGTTCACCTGCTTTCCAGACCAGAACGCGTACACGCACATCTGTGCTTGTGTTGAACTGAAAGCATTTTTTTAATTTGGAAAGGATGACCACCTAACTCCAAATCCTTCCCTCCATGGGGTGGGGCTTCCATGCGAGAACTTTCTCTCCACCTCTTCCCCGAGGGCTCCCATGTCCCCCACACCCTTAAGACTTTCCTATAGTAACCCCCTGAGATTTTTTTTTTTAAATAAGTTTTTATTGATTTCAGAGAGAGATAAAAACATCCAAGAGAAAGAAATGTGGGTTGGCTGCCGCCTGCATGCCTCACACTGGGGATCGAGCCCGCAACCTGGGCGTGTGCCCCGACCGGGAATCAAACCGTGACCTCCTGGTGCATGGGATGGCACACTGGCCCCTGCGATTATTTTTACTTCCCCTTAGCGTAGATGCTTTAACGTAAGGCCAGTAAATTGAACTGAGAAACGTCCTACTATCTGCACTCCATCGGGACTGCGTTGGTGTCTGGAGGCCCGTGGTGGCTGCGGCAGGCACCCTGCCGACATGTTGGAGTCCTCGCCGCCCTGCAGCCCCGCGCCCGGTCCCAGCCGGCTCCCTGCCCGCTCTGTTGCCATGCTGTCCCTCCCCGCGCACAGCCTGCATTCTGTCACCTGTGAGCGCTTTTACATTTCTCTCAATGCTCTGGATAGCGGTCTTGCACATCTTTTGTTAGCTATTTTATGGCTTTTGAAACTAATGAATGACATGTTAAAATTTCATTTTCTGATTTTTGCTGCTCATGGATATGAATATAATTGATTTTTTAATTGGCTTTTGATCCTACATCCAGTGACCTCGCTAATGCAGTTACTAGTTCCAGTAGCTTGCTTCTGAGTTGGGTTTGCCAGGTCCTAGGTATACAAGCGGTGAGGGAAGTCCGCTCTCAGGTTCCTGATCCCACGACTTCGTCTCTGTGGCCTCCCTGGGCTGGCCCTGAAGGAGCTGCCGGCGGGCACCTGTGTGCTGCCTGCTGCCCTCGCTCCTGTTCTCTGCAGGGGCTTTCTAGTTCCTCCTCATCCCAGGAGAACCCGACAGTGAGCCCCCCCGAACCCCTCAGGCCTTCGTGGGTCTGAGTGCTGCTTGGGTGCCTGCACCACAGGGGCGTGCCAAATGAGGGGTCCCCCACCTCACCCTCAGGTCCCGGCCTGGGGCATCTTCCTGCCTCCGTGGCGGAGAGGAGCAGACAGCTTTGGGCGGTGGAAGGAGCCGCCTGGCCCTTGGTGGCCAGTGCAAGTCCCCGGGGCGGGGCTCGGGCCCCTGAGCTTGGTGTCCGTGCTTCCCACAGGTGCACCCGGACACTGGCTACATCAACTACGAGCAGCTGGAGGAGAATGCCCGCCTCTTCCATCCGAAGCTCATCATCGCAGGTGATGGCGGCGGGACGCAGTGGTGGGCCCGGTCCCGGGCTCTGGCCAGCAGAGAGGGGCGCTGCTCCTCCCCGCCGGGCTCACGCTGGTCTCCGCCTTGGCTGGCTGAGCTCCCGGTCTACGTGTGTCCTTCTCTCAGGACCGGAGACCACTTTGCCACATTAGCCTGTGGATAGGTCCGCGGCTGTTCCCAGAGAAGCATCTGGGAACGTTAATCCTTAGTAACGGGGGTGGCATCCTAGGGGGGGCTGTCCCCACCCAGGGCATCGAAGAGGCAGAGATCAGAGTGGCTGCCTGGACACAGATGTTTTTTGAGAGCGTCCTTCATCTCTGATCTCCGATTGGAGGAGAAGTTCCAGGCTCTCCGCTTGCTGCCGGGCCCAGCTGGCTGCGGCATCTCCGACAACGGGTCGCTTCTGCCGCCTTAGGAACCAGCTGCTACTCCCGGAACCTGGACTACGCGCGCTTGCGCAAGATTGCCGATGACAACGGGGCGTACCTCATGGCCGACATGGCGCACATCAGCGGGCTGGTGGCGGCTGGCGTGGTGTCCTCCCCCTTCGAACACTGCCACGTGGTGTCCACCACCACCCACAAGACCCTGCGAGGCTGCCGCGCCGGCATGATCTTCTACCGGCGAGGTGTGTCCTGGGCGGCAGCCGTGCGGGCGGGCCAGGTTCCTGCCCTCTGGGTGTGCACAGCCATTGTGGGGCTGGGGACACTGGGATCTGAGAGCTGCTGGGGGTAAGGGCACTGGGATCTGAGAGGTCTGGGATCTGAGAGCTGCTGAGGGTAAGGGCACTGGGATCTGAGAGGTCTGGGATCTGAGAGCTGCTGAGGGTAAGGGCACGGGATCTGAGAGGTCTGGGATCTGAGAGCTGCTGAGGGTAAGGGCAGGCTGCAGGGATCTGGAGAGAAGCCTCAGCGCAGCTGTCGGACCCGGGAAGGGAGGTGGCATCGTGCTGGGCGGCCTCCCTTCGTGCGGCAGGTGCCGAGGGGAAAGGGCTGCGTGGCTGACCAAGGCAACCAGGGCCGCCGGCACAGTTGTTTTGGTGAATCGCCATGTTTTTTCTAGAGAAGAAAAAAGTGCCAGTCATAGTGCCCGCTTGTCATGTCAGTAGAACTTCTCTTTCCAGCAGTGGGATGCTTCCAGCCCACATGTATGTGGGTGCCCCATATTTTGGGGTTCCCACCTGTGAGAGAGCCGTGTAGGCCTGTGCAGGGGCCTGGCGTCCACAGAGAGACGGGGTCTCTAACGCCGTCAGCAGCTCCTCCCTGGCCCCGCCCGGCGCACTGTGTGCGGTGGGCACCTCTGCACCTGCAGTCCTTTCCGTGCGCTGGGTGTCCGGGCAGGTAGCCCCCCTCCCGCCCGGGAGATGTCTGCCTTCCCCGCTGCCCGTCTGTCAGCTCAGCCAGCTGGAGTGAGTCCTGGCCCTGCCTGGGGCCAGCGGTGAGCCTCTGCCTCCCCCCTCAGCTCGGGGCAGGACCACAGCGCCTGCCATGGCCGCTGCGGTGAGGATGCGTGGCTTCCTGTTGGGGAAGTGCTGAGAGCCATTCCCTAGTTGTGCCGGCGGCTCTGGTTGCCTGGCTCACAAGAAGCTCTGGACACATCGGTGTTATGGTCCTGATTTTTTTTTTTTTAAATATATTTTATTGATTTTTACAGAGAGGAAGGGAGAGAGACAGAGAGCTAGAAACGTCGATGAGAGAGAAACATCGACCAGCTGCCTCTTGCACACTCCGTACTGGGGATGTGCCCGCAACCAACATACATGCCCCTGACCGGAATGGAACCCGGGACCTTTCAGTCCGCAGACCGACGCTCTACCACTGAGCCAAACCGGTTTTGGCTGGTCCTGATTGTTAACTCTTCTCCAAAAGGAGCCCAGTCCCGTCTCTAGCCGCCTGAGTCTCCTCAGAGTGGCCATCCCGGCACTTCTCTGAGGAGCTGTGCCCCAGGCGTATTCTTTGTGACGGTCTCTGAGGGAAATGTTCATCATTCCGTTCCGTCTGTGAAAGGGGGGTGCCCCCTGGCAGCCGGCGCCCTCTCTGCCCGCAGCATGTCATGCAGGTCTCACCTCCCGTAGCGCCCACGGCTCCGCAGTCCGGGTCAGTCCAGGCGGAGAAGCCAGCCCGTCTGTTGTTCCATCCTGACCTTTCTTCATCCAGGAGTGCGCAGCACGGACCCCAAAACCGGCAAAGAGATCCTGTACAACCTGGAGCCGCTCATCAACTCCGCCGTGTTCCCAGGGCTGCAGGGCGGGCCCCACAACCACGCCATTGCCGGTAGGACCTCAAGAACCCGACCCCGAGCCCTCGGCCGTGTCCCTTCACCCATAGCAGCCCCGCTGGTCAGTCCCACTTCTGCTTCCCCCTCACCCGCCCACCAAAGTCTGCCAGGACTTCCACGCTGGGGAGACACGAGAGGAAAGTCCCCGTCTGGGAGATGCTAACAGGAAGCCCCGGGGCATGGGGACTGGCCGAGGCAGGGACAGGCGTGGCGCCCTCGGGAGGCTGGGTCAGGCCAGTCTGTGGAGCGCTCTCTCAGAACCACCGGGGAGGAATCGGACAGCTGGAAGAAGGCATGGCGGAGGGAGGGGGTGAGCGAGGACATGCCTCTCCCTGACCTGTGGGGAAGGCACCTGTGTCAGATCCTAGCACCGTTGGCCTGGGGGCTGCACCCGTGGCTCCTGGACCCCCAGCAAGCAGTCCTAACTCATTCCCTCTCTGCACAAGCGGCTCAGAAATCTGTGGCGACCTCAGTCACTCACTCTCTTCTTTGCACAAAGCAGTTGTAGGGGAGCCCAGGACTAAGGTCTAACCCCGCAGCTCAGCGTCTGCAGTTCCTTCCGCCTCAGAGGATGGCGTCGCCCAGCCTCCCAGCCTCTGGCAGGACGCAGCACATGCGGTCTGTGTTCTCCATTTCTGTGCCCCACAAGCACACAGGTACCAGATGGGTCAGGACGTGCAGGTGGCACAGGCCTGCACCCTCGCCTGGAATCTGATCTGGCCTCACCGCCCCAGCTTTCAGCAGCAGCATTGTCACACATGGAGCGTGGAGGGCTGCCGCCAGCCCGCCTTGCTGAGAGCCGCTCTCCTGTGGCATCTCCATCCCGGGAGACCAGCTGCCTGGACCAGGAGCGGTCTAGCGGCGCGGCCAGGTCACTGTAGGGTCAAAAACAGACGTCATTTGGGGGTGTCGTCCGCCCCTTTCCGTGACAGCGAAGAACAGGCCTGACAGAGCAGGCTTTTGAGTCTCGGCCTGTCTGTGCTCCGTCCCGCCTCCTAACCGCTGCCTCCCGCAGGGGTGGCCGTGGCGCTGAAGCAGGCCATGACGCCGGAGTTCCGCATGTACCAGCGCCAGGTGGTGGCCAACTGCAGGGTGCTGGCCGCGGCCCTGATGGAGCTGGGCTACAAAATAGTCACAGGTACAACTGAAACTCAGGTGACACCCCCGCCTGCTGTGACCCTCTGCTTCTGACTCCCCCAGGCAGAGTGTGGCTGTAGTGGGGCCCTGAGCTGCGGCTACCGGGGTTTGAGTCAGGGCACCCCCAGGAGGCGCCCTGGTGGCCTCCCCCCTCACACAGGGACAGCTGCCCCCTGCTGGGCCAGTGTGGTGGCCTCCCCCCTCACACAGGGACAGCTGCCCCCTGCTGGGCCAGGGAGGCTTTCTGAAGGAGTCCCTGAGCCCACGGAGAGGCTAGGAACCGTGGTCACGCCCAGTGGGTGGCAGCACCAGAACCTTGCCCACAGCAACACCTGGCGTGGCCTGCAGGACTGACCCACTCCCCCACGGGCGACAGTGCAGCAGACCACCTACCGGGAGGCCAGGGAGTTCAGACGCCGCTGGGCCCGCCTTTGCCTGAACTCCGAGATGAAGGCCCTGCGGGAGCCGGACTTGGCTGAGGGCTCGCTCGGGGGCCGTGCCAGTCCCTTGGCTCAGTCAGGGCGGCCGCGGGAGCTGGCAGGCAGCAAGCACACTTCGCTACCAAGAGGAAGGGCAGCTCTCGGGCTTGCTGGCTGCCGTCTGTGCCAGGAGAGGTGGCCCAAGAAGGAGGGTCCTGGTGCCCTGTGGATGCAGGTGCCACCCTGCCTGCTGCCTTTGCAGACCCCGACTGAGGAGTGGGCTCCCCACGAGGCCTGTGATGCATGAGCTGGGCAGGTGCCATGTTCTCTGAGAAGCATCTCTTTCCTTCACTTCCTCTCTTTGCTTTCTCCTCCCTCCTCTACACCTTCCGGTAAGAAAGCTCCGGCGTCTGTCAGGACCGGAACCTTCACGGTTCTCTGAGTCACTGTTTCTCAAACGTGGGTGTGCACTTAATGCAGGCCCAGGGCGGGTCCTGCCTCCACCCCGCTCCCAGGGGGTGCTGGTCTGGGAGCCAGGCTTGGTTGGCATCACCGGGATTTAGGACAAACTCATCCGATAGAGGCACCCCCCCAGCCCTGCTGCTCAGAGCCTCCGGTGGGTCCCCACTTCCTGAGCTCCCGGCCTGTCCTCACCCCTCGTTCCCTCTGCTCTGAAGACGGTGCAGCTGAAGCAGATCATGGGCACTGGGAGGGCAGCCAGCACATCTGGGTACCAACCTGCCCGGCGCCGGCCAAACATGATTCACAGCCTTGCATGTCGCTGGTCTTATGTTACAAAGGGGCGTCCGCGGTTCCAAACGCTGAGCTGCCTGACCACAGCCACACGGCCGGGAAGCGGGAGGCTGTGGGGTCCAGGGCTTAAGCGCTGACTTGGTTTGTCGGCATCTTTGAGCCACAGCTGTTGCCCAGGTCAGTGACTTGGCACTAATGAGAGTTGAAAGTGACAAGACCCAGGTACTGTACTTGGAAGACTTCCGGGCACGTGGGCCAGTTGTAGAATGTTCTTGTCGCCTCGACATCTTCATCTGCACCCCTCCCTCTGATCGCCCTTACAGGACTAGAGGTCAGATAGGACGGGCTATAGTGCTGGCGCCCAGCACGTGCTCCGCAGAGGGAGCGGGTACCGTTGTCCCATAAACGGGGCCGCCACCTGCTGCCTTGGAGGGAGCCTCGAAGGTTGGCCTCAGAGACGGTGGGAATGGTCAGAGAAGGCGGAACCCCAAGCGGCACTCGCAGACACGCAAGGCCCTGGCCGGGCAGCCGGCGGCTGGGTCTTTGCAGTGAGGAGGCTGCATCCTCCCCTCTGCCTCAGCGCTCTGCATCGCCAGGCATCCTGCTGCACCCCTCGGTCCTTCCTGCCCGGCCCTCGGGTCCTGAGCATCTTTCCAGGACACGCGGTGGGGCTCACTGCCCTCCCAGCCCTTTTCCTAGGAGGGAGAATTCCTCCACTCGCATGGACTCACCATCTGCATTCTTCCACGTCCAACTTGGTTTCCAGGTGGTTCTGACAACCATTTGATCCTCGTGGATCTCCGTTCCAAAGGCACAGATGGTGGCCGGGCTGAGAGGGTGCTAGAAGCCTGTTCTATTGCTTGCAACAAGAACACCTGCCCAGGTGAGAATCCTCCGCGGTCTTCTTTTTTAAAAAATATATATATTTTATTGATTTTTTTACAGAGAGGAAGGGAAAGAGATAGTTAGGAACATCATTCATCTGCCTCTTGCACATCCCCTACTGGGAATGTGCCCATAACCAAGGTACATGTCTTTGACCGGAATCGAACCTGGGACCCTTGAGTCCATAGACCGACACTCTATCCACTAAGCCAAACCAGCTAGGGCCTCCTCGGTCTTCTCTTACACACAGTCTGCACCTCTGGGCTGTTACAGCTGTGGTAATGGGGGATACATGTGCTGTGCCAGGTGGGAGCACAGCAGGGATTCTCCTGGGCCGCCCGCCTGTTCCAGCCAGGACAGGGCGAGGGGGTGCTGGGAGGGAAGGGAGTCAGGTCGCTGGGAGACAGGCTGGCTCCAGTGGGCTGTTAACAAGGATGGGTGACACAGTCCAAACCCAGAGGCTGGCCTCACTTTGAGGAGCAAAGGCCATGTCACAGAAGTGACTTCCTACTGTGCCTGCCCCTCCTCTCCGCGGAGTCAGTGCCCTCCCGCACGCGGGCACTGCAGGCCTGTTCTTTTGCCCAAGGGTCCCTTTCCAACACACGGTGGTCAGAGGCGAGTGAGAGTGCTGCCCCAGTACAGGCCTGTTTCTGTTGAAGGTGACAGAAGCGCCCTGCGGCCCAGTGGGCTGCGGCTGGGGACCCCGGCACTGACGTCCCGAGGACTCCTGGAACCGGAGTTCCGGAAAGTAGCCCACTTTATCCACAAAGGTAAGGATGCTTGTCTGGAAGTCTGACACCTGAACACTGCGACCCAGCCACTGAGGGGTGTTCTGGGTCAAGGCTGGGTGTGGGGGACAGGAAACAGTAGAAATCACTTAGCAAACCTGGTCTGGAACATCTGTAAACTTGTGCTGCCCACGGAGGGGTGCATTCAGAATCATTTCTGGGTGAACATTAATCCCTACGGCTGTCACCCCCCTGGCTGGGTCTCCGGGTCTCCCGGTCCCAGAGGACTCCTTTGTGTGTCACAGGGATAGAACTGACTCTGCAGATCCAGAAGGCTGTTGGGGACAAGGCCGGCCTGAAGGAGTTCAAGGAGAAACTGGCAGGGGATGAGCAGCACCGCGGGGCCGTCCGGGCCCTCCGGGAGGAGGTGGAGAGCTTCGCGTCTCAGTTCCCTCTGCCCGGCCTGCCGGCCTTCTAGAGCCTTCTAGAACCTTCTAGAGGAGCGCCGCTGCACCTGCCCCGCGGCGCGTCAGGACCAAGGACACAGTCCCCCCGAGAGAAGCACCACCCACACAGGACCCGGCCAGCTTCTGGGTGCTCTCTGAAGGTTTCTTTGGGACTTTCCTCGTGTTCTCTTCACAAATCAAAATCTGCTTAAGCCCCACTGTTAGTAATTCTGGGACAAATTATTACCGTGTTTCTCCAAAAATAAGACATCCTCCGAAAATAAGACCTAATTACAGGTTTCCTTCTGAGTGAAATATAAGGCATCCCCCCCGAAAATAAGGCCCCTCTAGGCTAAACATGAGAGATTTGGTCCACTGATTCTGAAAGAAATGGAGTCACAAGAAATTCACCAGGAAATGGATTGTTATGATGATGTTCCAGAAGATGATGACATGATTGTCATTGAATAAATGAGTAAATTCTTGATACTATAGGATTCACAGTTTGTCTGGTTTGTGTTGACAACTACCATACTACTGTACCGTATACAGGTAATAAATTTCCTTTATTTTCATTTAACAATAAATGTGTACGTATTCTTCATGGAAAAATACGACATCCCCTGAAAATAAGACCTAGCGCATCTTTGGGAGCAAAAATGAATATAAGACACTGTCTTGTTTTCAGGGAAACAGGGTAAGGAGTATAAATCTAAACCTTTCTCTCAGCTCTGTTTGTTATTCTGGAAAAATGCAACCCTATTAGCCTTCACTCCTTGAGGCAGCAGGTAGGGCAGAGCTATTGGAACGATGCCAGGAGTCTGCTTACCCTCTCAGAGTTATTTGGCTTCCTCTGGCGCACTGCGGCAACGGAGAAGCACCGCGCTCGTAGCTTATTCCCCGGTGCCGTGACCTAACCACTGCAGAGGGAAGCCTGACCCCTCTGCTCTGAGCTTTGGCTCTGAATTCTCAGACATGCCCACACAGGTGCCCAGGCCGTGGGTTCCGAGCAGCAGCCCAGCATAGTGGCCTTCGCCTGGGACGCAGCCTCCTGCGGAGTGTCAGCCAGGGACCCCCGTCCTGCGAGAGAACGCCCTCCTGTGATCAATAAGCCAATGTCACCTTCCCAAAGAAACTTTATTTTTCACAAAGCTGAGTGCAAAACATAAATGACCATTTTTAATAAGCACAGTCAAATTTTTAACCACAGAATGTCTACAAGAATTACAGCTTTAAAAAATACAACCAATTTTTATATTTCAAAAAAATAACTCAAAATAAATTAATTTCTTAAACAGTACACTTCTCGTACTGTTTGTTTGGCATTTACTCTGGTGGAACTCTGGCGCAGCCGTGCCTGGGAGCGGCTGTGCCCCGGGTCTCGGTCATACTCTTGCCACTGTAGCTCGCGTGCTGGTCAGACTCCCATTCACAGACGTGGACAGAACATGCGGAAATAAAATACTTCTCAAAAATAACAAACGAGATCTCAGACAATGCTTGTCACTGCGGCCTTACAGTGTGCAGCCCGCGGCAGCGCCGGGCCGTCGGTGCTGAGGTCCCTGTGACCCCGCCTGGAAGGCACCCGGGCCCGGTGTCCGGTGTGTTGGGGTTGCTCCGGTGCAGTGGGGACAGCAGTGCAGCCTCTGGTGAGTGCACGCAGTGCCCTCGTCTGTGCCTCCATCTGGGAGCTTTAAGCCGCTCAGAGGCTTGCTTTAGGGCTCTCTCCTCCCAGCTGGAGACGAAGGGACGCCTCCAAGACCCTCGGATAGCCCCAGCAGCCAGGGCTCCCCACCAGCAGCTGAGTTCACTGCAAGTGCCCGTCCCCTCTCCTGCGTCCTCTTCCCATGTGTGTGACCACCTTACTAATGAGGCCATGTCAGGTCAGAGCTCACAGGGAGGGCTTAGGAGACCTGGTGTGTTCCAGCCGCATCAGCTGAGCCCGTTTTTGTTCCTAGCCAGAAGCAGAAACTTGATGCTTTTTCCTTATCTCTTCTAACAATTCCAGATTTTTTTTTTTTTTTTTCCCATTTTAACGGTATTGGAGAAAAATCAGAAAGCTGGCTGGCTTGATTCAAAGCATGAACCAAAACATTCTTCTGAAATGGGAGGTAACATCTGATTGCCAGCTTGGGGAGTCAATGCCTCTGAGTGCTACACCAGTGCAGATGGCGGCGCAGCAGCTGGCCTGCCCTGCAGCGTCGGGCCAGGGAGGGGCATGCGTGGCCAGTGCAATGCAAGGTCTTCAAGACCACTCTTGGCCTCCAGGCGGAACCGAAACAGGCCTGGCATTTGGGGTAGAAACTATCGCCTTCCCTGGATTTTGAAATGGGATTTGTTGTTTGTGGGGGGTTGAAGTCTACTATGAATATAATAATAACCTGAAGTAAAGTTAAAAGCTAAATGGTAAATGACAGGCAAGCTACCATGCCCATTTCCAAATCTGGTGTAATGTGTATAACGTCAGCCATTGCAGTCAACCATGGAAAAGTCACAATTTCCAGACTTCAAAGATTCCACTAAAGGAGCTAGGTCCCTGGGGAAGCACAGGAGGCAGCAGCTCAGGCTGGCGCCCTGACGGCTTCGCCGCGCTCTAACAGCTCCTGGAGGTCACTACGTGACTGCAGCCCAGGCAGCTTTGTTACCGGCACTGCGTGGACCAAGGGGAGGAGGCAGGCAACAGGAAGTGAAAACCCCGTTTCAGTGCCTGCCTTCAGGGGACTAAAGAATGAATGAGGGGCACCGATGTCCTTGATTGGGAAGTATTTGTAGATGTCTCATTGACACTGGCCTATCCTACAGGACAGCATCAATCCCAATTCTTGGAGAAATGACCAGTCTGTCGCATAGGGCTCCTCTCGTTACCACTTATTGCTGCATCTGGTAGGCCCCAGTTCAGCCTCAACTGCCTCTGCCCAAACTGCCCAGCCCATGTGCCACTTTCATCCCTTTGAAAAGAAACACCTGGGGCATCAGGCAATCCTTTGAAACCGTCACCCTGAAAAGTTAAATTTTAACCCAAATTTAAATCCTAGAGTTCACCCTCTGCTCAGTGAGGCCAAGGCGCTTCTCCGTGCAGAACCAACCCCAGTGCGCTGCCAGGGGCTCGCCCGCACTGCGGAGCACCTGTCCTGTTGACAGCCCTGGCCTCGCCTGAGTCCTCAGGGCCTTCGGGACTGTCCTGAGGCCAAGCTTCTGGGCAAACACCCCCCAAAGTGGACGTCTGTGGCAGACGTGGCTGTCGGCTTCTGGAAGGCCAAGTTCCACCTGCCTGTATCAGCTTCCGCAGGAGAACAGCGGTAACCAGTCTGTGTCAGTGTGAAACGGGAACGAAACCTGTGCTGGTGCCAGTGCTCACTTCCCATCTTGTCACTGGGACACTACAGACCTTTCTTCCCTGGAGATACAATGCACCAGCTCGTGTTCCTGGAGGCCTAAGCAGACAGCAATTCCACCCAGTTAGGAAACAAAGCAGCACCGGAACTCGGGAGAGGGGAGATACAGACAGGGAGCTCCCCAAGAGAAGAGGCTTCCTGTGCAGCCTTCCCGCTGCCAACACCTCACCCGTCAAAGCCACCGGCAGCTCCTGGAGAGCCAGAGGCACAAGGAAACCAACCAGTGTAAGCACACCATTCACCACCAAAGTGCTCAGTCACGGCCTCAGGAGCAAAATCACATCCAGACAGCCACACGAGAAGGCCTTCCTCTTTTCTGAGGAAGTCCCGCCCTGTCAGGAGTGGGGACTCTGACCAGAAACTGCTGGTGGGAGCCAGCGGGCCGCATCCTGGGCAGAGGGCCCGGGCGGGGAAGGACCGAGGGAGTGATGGACGCAAACCTTCCTTAGTCACAGGTCTCTGCCTCTCCGGGACTCCAATGGTGTGCCCCACAGGTGGCAGACAGACCAGGTCTCGGCACATGGGCACGGCCCCCCCAGATTCGCACACGCGCCCAGGAGCACCACTTGTCACTGGCTCAAGGTGGTTTTATCACAACTTTGTGGGTATAAATTAAAAAGCACTAATACCAGAGTTCTCCCTATTTAGGGGGGAAACAGCTTTAAAAAAAAAAAAAAGCATAAAATTCTCAAGGTTGCAAGAAACCCTCCACCTACATAAACTGGAAGAAGCAAGTGGGAACTGAAAGCAGCTCAGGGAGGTTGTGGTGGGTGGACCTGGGCACATCTCCAAAGAAGGTGGGAGAGTCATGGGCAGAAGAGCTGCCGAGAAGTGCCCACAAGCCAGGCCTGTGCAACCTGGCAGGCAGGTCCAGGGAGACAGCCGCGCAGACAGCTGTCCTCTTTCCTGGAGGAAGTCCCGGCCCCGAATCACCATCTGGGCTGCCACCCACACTAGCCAGCTGCACAGAACTCTGCTGCCCCGTGCTGAGACCCCGCGAGAGGTAGTGAAGTGGTTGCGAGGGCTTGCTTTGGGTGAGAACAGTGCTGGCTCACTCTGGCCAAAAATACTGCTGGGCCAGACCCCAGCGAGCCTTCATGGACCCTCCACCTCAAAGAGCAGTTCCCACTGACAACTGGGGACCAGGGACACCACTCCCTCTGCTGGCCTGAGGGTGCGATGTGCAAGGTGAGGAGTGAAGGTGGGACAGGGAGCTGCTCGCTCTCCCTGCAGCGCTGGCAGAGCCTTCTCCCTCCCCCTCGCTCAGGGCCTCCCCGGGATGTCAGGCCCTAGGAGGCCACTCAGTTGGGATTTGAATGAGACAACGGATATTCCACCCTCTTGTTTTCCACAAAATCATTCCAGTTAACAAGTTGTTTCACTTGATTTTGCCACTCAAGTGTTCAGTGAGGATGAGCATGGCCACATGTTCTTCCCATCGTGGCTTTGCCTTCCTGCCCCTCACCCGACCCCCCTGAGGCTTTCCTCTGCCCTGGCGACCAGTCCTTGGGAGGCCAGCGTTCCCTCCAGGTCCTGCCTTACCAGGGAGACGAGAGCTGTTACTGTCCTGGGTGCTTTCAGAGAGCCAGGCTCCTCCTGGCCAAGTCCCACTTGCAAGTTGCCCGAGCCACCTTGGTTTCCTTCCCACCTGTGACACCGGAAGTCTAACCCGCTCCGAGGACTTGGCAATGTCATGTCCACCCTTCTCTTCCCTGTGCCCCGAGTCACAGTGGCAGGATCTGACCTCAGATTTTGTACAAAAAACTGGGGACATAATCAAACCTGAGCATGGGCTGGCTGGTCCCGGGAGACTCCTGCATATAGTGCAGCTTCAGCAGCTCAGCCAGGTACTGGACCACCTTGGCATCTTCATTCACTAGACCCAGATTCAGCTTCAGGAAGCTGGCCTGCCGGCTGGCAACCAGCTCCTCTACCTCCTTGTTGTGGGCAGGCAGGTGCAGGTGGTGGCAGAAGGTGTAGAGGAAGGCCTTGGAGCAGAGCTGGGTGAGCATGCTCTGGACGTGCAGGTAGTAGGTGCTGCCCCGCTTGATTTGAGTACGGTGGTCTGCCAGCCGGGGCACCAGGGTGCCTCTGTAAAGGGGGCAGCGGAGGGCTCTGTTGTCCAGGTCCAGGATGCTTGCGTAGCGGCTGTAGCGGCTCAGCACGTGCAGGGTGCCGGCACTGGCAGGGGAGGCCACTCTGAAACACATAGGCCAAGGTCAGGAGGAAGGGCAAGGCCAGGAAGATGGAAGCAGACACGTGGGAGTGGGGCTTCCTGTCTCCAGGCAACTCCCACCGGCCAGCACTCACTGGCCTTCTGGAAGGCAAACCTGCTCATCCTCATCTTGTAAGGGCTCCTCACTTCCCTCATGAAGCTCCAATGCCTTGGCAAGGTCAACAAGTTCCCGTATGACCTGCTGCCTGCTGACCCCTGAGCTTCATCTGCTCCTAACCCAGACTTAGCCATGCCAAGCTTCCCGTGGGGCCTCAGAGTCAGCCTATCTGCTCTGCCTGGATACCCTCCCCTCCCTTCTGGGCATGGCTTATGCCAATGCCAACCTTTCCCAGCCTTCCCTGATCCCCTCCTCTGCTTTTAGCTATGGCCTTGGTCATGTTCCTCAACCTGACACTTATTTGTAAGACAGAGATAATAGTTCCTCTCTCTTGGGGTCACTGGAGACAAAGAGTTGTGCTCAGAATGCCTGACCCTGGCCACTGTGTGAGAGCTGTCTTCTTGTCCTGCCCACAGACCCAGGGCTGACCCTGATTCGGCCTCTTGCCCCACTGCCTTGCACATCAGGGCTAGGCAGGGTTTGCTCAGTGAGGGAAGGAAATCGGAGCGGTCAGTCTTAGTAAGCAGCTCCTTAAAACTCTCCTTTACATCCCTTTTCCCCTGTTGTCTGGCAGGTCAGCAAATGGCTGGCCAGGTTTCACAGACTGACAGACTCTGGAATTTAGGGCTTGTATTGGATCCAAGATCGTGTGTAAAATGGACTGACAGTCACTTGGGACCAAGGAATCTCACAATTTTTCCTTTCTGGATGTTGTCCTCTTGTATAATTAACAATCACTTACTGAGCATCTGTTATTTCCAGGTAGTGACCCAGGGCAGAGCAGGTGGCGATGAGCCTGCTTTGGTTGGAAAAAAAAGCCAAGCACACCGAGTGAAGGGGGACGTGTCTCAGTCTCCACAGGAGAGACCTCGGGCCAGAAGGTTCTGGAGGAGTGGCCTTGGGACTGGGCCTTAAAATGGAGGCGGGCCTTGGGACCTGTGGAAAGCATCCAGACCAAAGATGGCCACAGGGCCAGGCCATGAGCCAAACACCTCCTCCGGCTTGGCACTACCAGCCCACCCAGGCACTGCTGCTGCACAGCCAGGCCTCGCCTCATCTTCTGGGCCCTCCATCCAGCCACCCATCTCGGTCATACTGGCCCCAGGCCCAGCCTCTCCCAGGAAAGCTGACATCCCCACCCAGGCCCACCTATGGCAGCACCACTTCTTTTCAAAGATGCTGCTCCTTCTGACTCTTCCTCCACTTCTGCTTCTCTCCAAACTCCTCATCAGGAGGCCAGGCAACATGGGAAGAAGCCAGTTCCAGGCCTGTCCCTCAGCGGTACAGCACCGGCACCCGAGCGCCTCCCACTTCACTTCCCTCACCGGTGTGGGTTCACTATGGTCTGTCCCAAAGCCAGGGAGGCAATCTCCACAGACAGGACACTGAGGCCCAAAGGGGCCATCACTTGCCCAAGATCTCCTCGTTACAAAGTGGCTGAACCAGGACTCAACTCAGGGCCCCGGACCCACCCGAGCCCTGTTTCCCTCCAGAACGAAGCTGCTTTTCACGTGGTCCAGGGCTTGTTACTACTGCCTACTGACAATACAATAACCTCTGCTTTTGACTTTAAATAATGGGAGACTAATTTGATTGTGTCCATATCTTGTATCCACTCTGCAGACAGGGAGGGCCTACCTTAGAAGGAAAATAAAATCAAACCGCCAATGACACTGGCCGCTCTGGGTGAGTCCTTAAGAACAGTCCATCATCTGAGCTGTTTTAGCTGGAGGCAAAGCACCTGAGCCACACAATTGTAATTCCAGATTAACTTGGCACACGGGGCCAACCCCTCCACAGCTGACCACACAGACACCTCTTCTCCTCCTCCTCTTTAATGCTGACCCTCAGCGGGGTCTCAATCCGCCTGTTTCAAGGCTGGGTCTGCCTGTGGGGCTGACTCACCATCCATCCACAACTCCAAGCACTTTGAGGGCTGCCAAGCACGACACTAGGGCTGTTGACACATCTCAGATGTGCCTGCCTCCAGCTCCACATGAGGACTACGTTAAGCCCCGTTTACAGACAGGATCAACAAGTTTTGTTCAGGGAATGAGTGACATGTCTGGTCCAAATTCACACAGCTAATAATGTTGACACCAGGATCTGAGCTCGGAACACACTCTGCCTTCCTCTAACAGCACAACTCCATGGGTTTTCATCTCTTGATACTTCCACACTCTATTGTTCACCTCTCAGAATTATCCCGGGTGATTTGTAGCAAATCCAGTCCCCAATCCATTTCTAGTCCCTCAGTTGATCATCCGGTGACAAATCCCCTCGGAAGCAAGACCTCCAGCCCATCTGACCAGGACCCTGGACGCAGGCGGAGGCTCCCAATTCCCAGCGGGTGCGCACACTCAGGTCTGCAGGAGAGCTTCACAGAGGTAATCATTTCCCCACTTGGGATTCTTGAAAAGAACTAAACGCCACTTCCGACAGGACTCTCACTTTCGCCGTGGGCTGCTCAAGGCTCAGAAGTCTGGCAGTGCGGCCACTCTCAGGCCCTGGCCTGCCTTCCTATTCAGGATGGGACAGACCATAGGAAGCTACAGAAGGCTCACAGACCAGATGTGATGCGCCTTCCGGCCTCTGCAATCACAAGGCAAGCCTCCGCTCAAGCTGCCGGCGGGGACAGAGCTGGGCTAACGTGAGGGTTGCCTGGGAAGGGCATGCTCGCCCTGACCCAGTTGCCGGCTCACCTTATAATTCTGGCACTGGGCACAGTAGCTGGCACACAGCCCTCAGTAAGTGCTTGGCAAATGGTATTCAGCGATCCCACCCTTTCCTTTTCTCAGGAGGGAACAGAGCCTCGAGAGGAGCAGTTTGCCCAGGTGCCCACTGAGGATGGACAGTGAGAGGGACGCCACAGGACTCAGACCGCCTCACACCACCTCCACTCCAGGGTGCCAAACACACTGCCCACTGCCGCCCACCCTCTCCTGCACCACAGAAACATCGTTAACAGATGACAGCAGGATTTCCAATGCAGCCCAACCTGGGCCTGAGTCCTTCCCAACAGAGCACTTCAATCAGGCACGCAGTAGAATGGAGTTGATGTAAGAAATGAACCTCTTGCCCTAACCAGTATGGCTCAGTGGATAGAGCGTCGGCTTGCGAAATGAAGGGTCCTGGGTTTGATTCTGGACAAGGGCATGCACCTTGGTTGCAGGCACATCCCCAGTAGGGGTGTGCAAGAGGCAGGTGATTGATGTTTCTCTCATTGATATTTTTAACTCTCTATCCCTCTCCCTTTCTCTCTGTAAAAAAAACTAAAAAAAACACACAATAAAATATATATTTAAAAAAATAAAAATAAATGAACCTCTTTTGCCATTCTGGCACATTCTTTTTTTTTTTTTTTTTTTAATATATTTTATTGATTTTGTACAGAGAAGAAGAGAGAGATACTTAGAAACATTGATGAGAGAGAGTCATCAATCAGCTGCCTCTTGCACACTCCCTACTGGGGATATGCCCGCAACCAAGGTACATGCCCTTGACCGGAATCAAACCCAGGACCCTTCATTCCCCAAGCCGACGCTCTATCCACTGAGCCAAACCTTTCCCGGCCCATTCTAAGGAGGGAGTTTAAGGGAAAGC